TATTTATATTTATATAAATGGTTATTATTTGTTATATTTTTGCACTTTATTTAAAAAAAAAAATTGTTTTTTAGTCATTAAATTATATTTTATTGTAAATCATTTTAATCTACTGTATTTATTTTTATAATTATCCAATTGTATTTGTCACAAAAACATATATACATATTTTACAATTTTGCCATACACAAAATTTCACCTATAAACATTGTGTTATTGACATAGAAAAATAAATTATAAATACATAGAACTACAACTGAAATATTTGACATAACGAATGGTAAACTTGACATTTATATTATATGGTTAATATTAGGTTAGGTTAGGTTTTTTTTTTTATGTAGTTATTTTTCTTGTRTTAAATATCGTTCATCAATTTTTAACTCTAAAATTAGATAAATTTTATTTATATTTGGAAACTTAATTTTATAAATATATTTATCATTTACATCAGTCATCAACACCAAAATTAATTTTAAAATCATATAAATTATCAAAGTTATAATAAGAATAATTCAGAAAATATACATTAATAATTGAATCTGAACAAAAAGAACTATTCATTACTTATTATTTATTTATAGTTTTTATATGATTTGATATTTTTTTTTTAGAAAACTTTTAACGAACTTTCACATTATCTTTAGATTTAATTTTTTGATTATAWMWKATTACGTCATGAATCAACACCACTCGGTTAAAATATTATTAATAATTGAATAAAAGAATCTTCAAATGAAATACCTAATTAATAATGGATTATTTTATATACAATATTTTATTTTTGATTGCAAGCTTAAAAAKATTTTAAATAAACAATTAATTTTTTATTAATTTTAAAATTATAGAAAAAGTTTACTTTTTTTTAATACATTAWTGAAGTCATTAAGTCATTACTCGTTACACATTCACATTAGGCGCCTAATAGTATTTAATGTTTACTGCCTGTCGTGTTTTTAGAAATCTGAAATAGAGGGGTATATGTTTTTAAGAAGAAATACAATTATGATATTAATTCATAATTAATCATAGATAATATGATTTTAAAACAATATTAACCATTCGCATTTTAATTATATGGGTTATACYGGTTATAGGGTGTATAATATATGTTTATAATATTCCAATATTATATCCATATCTCGAAATTAAAATATAATRAAAAGACCTTGATATGCMCTAGAGTCTAGGGCCTAGACAATAATATTTCCTTTAATTTTTATAATTGGTCAATTCACTCTAAATTTTAAACTAACGRAAATAAACGTGATCTGCTGAGCGTAAAATTTGCTATACTACGCACTTGTACGACGGAGACAACAACACATGCGGGTGTGGCGTCCCTTAATAATGCTGTGTGTATAGGATTGCTTTTCCAAATTCATGATACCTAAATAAAATTAAAAAAACTGAGTTTTGAATAAAAATAAAAATAATAGAAGAATATAACTAGTACGTCAACCAAATATGAAAAATCTCAACATTTTAAATCTGCAGTAATTTGCAAGAAAAATAGGAAATCGCTAGAAAATATTGATTGCCTACATAAAACACCTTCATAATTAAATGTTGCAATACAATGAAATACATAATGACGTTATATTTAAATATATTATTTACATTATAATAACGTGTTCAATTTTTAATATMTGGTGTATGATAAAATTTAAATGAAAAAAAAACAAAATCACCTAATGATAATTAACTGATAATTTAAATTGTACCTATTCATGTTATCGAAATAATAAAAAGTGGATTTGGTTTRGTATTGAGAAGGTAATACTTATTAGTTCCTTAAGTTTACTGTAAGCTGTAAAAATTATTTGATTTTTCTTTGTTTTTTTGTTTATAAAATATATTAAAAATGCATTGAATTTGCCTATACTAGCCCCTTCTATTYTATCTATTATATAGATCCATATAGTTTGGCAGGTTTGGCTACGTATATATGTAAAATATAAATCTATTAATGATCACTAATATTAATGAAGTAGTGATCAAACCACAGAGTAATATTATAATATTATAATATTACTCTATGGATCAAACCTAGGG